GCAGTACCAGGGATCGAACTTATGCTTGCAAGACAGGTGTTTATGCCAGTGAGCTATCTCCCTGGTCCCGTTCTCTTTTTTAACACTACACAAAATTTCCCCACCAGGATGTACACAAAGGAGGGAGAAGGGGGCCAGCAAAAGCAGCCACTTTCTAGAAACTGTCCCTGTCATTCACTCCTTGGCTGGGCCAGGGTTGCCTATAAAGCAAGTAACACAACTTCCTTCAGCGCTGGGGAAGGGCATGCGAGGGGTGAGGGGGTGGGGATGGGGGGCAGTGGCAGTGGTGGGGGTGAAGCTTGGCATGTGGCCCCGCACTCTGTTGACATTACCTTGTTCGAATTTGAAGTCTATGTAAGAATATTGATTCATTTCTTTTCTTTTTTTTCTTTTTCCACTGGCTTCTGGTGATAGCTCCTGCCATTTTTTAATGGCATCAGAAAAGGCCTACAAATTGAGAAAGGGAAAGATTATCACTGCAAATGGAAGACAAAAAAAACCAAAACTTAGAACGCCCCCCAGTTTCAAGCATAATGCTGGGTTCCTCCTTGTATAACTTACCAAATTCTGTTTTTTCTGGTTTCTTGAGACAAGGTTTCACTATATAGCACAGACTGGCCTGGAACTCAGGGCAATCCTCCTTAGTCGGCCTCCTGAGTGCTGGTGCTATACCTGGCTGCCTGACCATATTTTAAAGTTACACTTTTGTACTCAGCTGCAAAGCTAATAATATTTTTCAAGTTTTATCTAAAGGTATACGATCTACCTTTGAACTTAAGCATTTACAAGAATTCAAGAATGGAAGTCAGACAGGGTAGTAATCTGTGTTTCACAAAAGAGTAATTAAAACATAGGTGCCACTTGTCAGTAAGAAATCAGACTTGAGTGGAACTCAGAATTCCTCAATGGTGGTGACACAGGTAGAGACTCCTGAATAGCAGCCTAAAAGAGTCATTATTTTGTTTATTATTGCTTCTAACAGTAGGGGAAAGCCCCACCTAATATAAACATATAAACTGGTACTCATCAGGAAATTAGCTTTAAAAATGCGGTATACTTATTTATATCAAAGGAGTCTCCAAAATCTTACTGTAATAATTTTATCAGTAGCTTCCATTACTATTGAGGAACAGCCTAGTTAAGTAGAACAGACAATCAAATTATAGGAGGAGAATTTCTTCCCTCTGAGGACTGCTAGTCTACATACCACAGATCTTAGCTTTTATGCAAATCTTTCCTCTAGTGAAAACATCTTTCAGTCAAAACTCTGCTCAAATGATACTTCTTTCCTAGTGCTCTCATGGATTGATACACCTAATTTTTGAGTTCACATTATGCTGTTTTAATCATTTCTCTGCTACTCTCCTCCAACACACTTCAAGCTCTTTAGAAGGAAACTACTTGATGGTGTGCTTCTTTTGCAGTGCTGAGAGTGGAACTCTGAGCTTTGTGCATGCTGGGAGTGGAACCCAGGGCTTAGTGTGCACCAGTCTATTCTCCCACTGAGCCACAGTTGCAATAACCTCCAGAAACTTTAGGAAGGACTCAAAAAGCTCAAAGGACTCTAGGACGAAACAGGTGATCAAGAACAAATGTATATGGGGCTTGTGAGATGGCTCAGTGGTCTAAAGCACCTACTTAGAACAAGCTTAGCAAAGCACAGGGACCACGGTTCAATCCCCCAGCACCACATGCCAGCCCGCCCCGCCCCCTGGTGGGCTGAGCTGCACCCCCCCCCACAAATAAATAAATTAAAAAAAAAAAGAAGAACAAATGTATCTTCAGGTTTTTTTTTTTTTTTTTTTTTTTTTTTTTTTTTCGGTACCAGGATTGAACTCAGGACCTTGCGCTTGCCAGGCAAGCACTTATTGCACTGAGCTATCTCCCCGGCCCCATATCTTTAGTTGTTGTCCAGACTTTTCTCACACTCATAAATCAAACAGCAACTTAAGTGTTCTGAGAGCATACAGGGTGGTAAGACTTTCAGGACATATTTGGTACAGTATGGTACAGGCACAAAGACAGACATAAAAATCAGTGCAACAGAGCGAGGATGCAGAAATGACTCAAAGCACACTCCACTATTTGTTCTTTGACAAAAGGGTCAAAAACATACATTTGAGCAAACAGCTTCTTTAATAAATGACTATTCACACGCAGAAGATGGAACTTAGACTCATGTCTCTCACTATGTACTAAACTAAAATTAAAATGGATCAAAGAACTAAATGTTAAAAACCTGTTGGAAGATAAAATAGGCAGAATTATTGAAATATAGATGCAGACAAGGACTTACTGAACAGAACTGTGGTTGCATGGAAAAAGTACTAAGAAGCAACAGATAGGGTCATATAAAATTAAAAGGCTTCTGCACAGCAAAAGAAATAACAAACAGAATGAAAAGGAAACCTTTTTGGGAAACTAGAATGAGAAAACCTTTTGCCAGCTATTCCTCAGAGAGAGGACTAATACATAGAATATATGAAGAACTAAGAAAACTAGACTTTCTGAAATAAAATATAGAATCAAAAAATGGGCAAGTGAAATGAACAGACACTTCACAAAAATACAAATGGCTAATAAGTACATAAATATTTAATGTGGCTGGCCATTAGAGAAATGTAAATTAAAATAACACTGCGATTCTATCTTACTCCAGAAAGAATGGCAATCAAGAAACCAAATAAGTGCTAGCAAGGAAAAGAGAAATCTTATTTTATTTTATTTTTTTAATGTATTTAGTACAGGGTCTCACTGCATAGACTGGACTTGTAGAGATCTTCCTGTTATCAGCCTCCCAAGCACTGGGATTATAGGCGCATGCCATCATCCCCAGTCTTAGTCGCCCTCTCAGGGTGCCCCAGGGGTAGGGCTGGCAAAGCACACCAGGGATCAAATCCCAGTCCATGCACCTCCATGTGCCTGCCTAAGCAGGCACTTTAGTCTGCTGAGCTATCTGGCCGGGCCTAGAAATCTTTGACATTGTTTGGTATGTGAACTAGTGTAGCCAATGTGGAATTAGTGTGCAGACACCCTCCCCCCTAAAAAAAGACTGGAAATTCTGTTTTCTCAGTATCTTTGTCTTTACAGAAGCACAATTCATAATAGCTAAGTCTTGGAAGCGGCCTATATGTCCACTAACAGATGACCAGATAAAGAAAATGTATTTATTTATGTATAAACAACATATTATTCTGCCATAAAGTTATTTGTAGGGAAATGGATACACACTGAGGCTTTTTTTTTTTTTTTTTTTTTTTTTGCAGAACCGGGGATTGAACTCAGGCCCCTGTGCTTGCCAGGGAAGCGCTTATTCCACTGAGCCTTCTCCCCAGCCCTGGATACACAATGAGAACACGTTAAATAAATCAGACAGACAAACTTAAATCTTACATGGTTTCTCATATAAGAAATGCAAGCTATAGAGCAAAATAAAGGAGAAATAAGGGAAACTAGGGAAATAGATCTTCCCCAAATGGAAAGGAGACTGAGATTGGGGCAAGGGGAAGAAAATAGGGATTAAGATGTTTTTTGTTCATGTACCAATTCCACATAAAGAATGTAATCATTATGTAATACAAACATATACAGTAATAATAATAATAAAAAACCCTGTGACTATAGTCAAAGTTACGAAAAACAGGACTGGCCAAATAGCATAGTGGATTAAAGCGCCTGCAAGCAGGTGCAGGGGCCAGGGATTCCCGGACCTGCTGTGCCAGTCAGCCCCTGGGGCGCACTGAGACGGCGACTAAGGCTGGGTGTGGTGGCACATGCCTGTAATCCCAGCACTTGGGAGGCTGTAAACAGGAGAATCACTATGAGTCCAATCTAGTAGGATACCCTGAACACCTTGTCAACCCTTCCCTAAAATATAAAAAACAAACAAACAAAAAACCAGTTAAGAAAAACAGAAATGAGTATGTTGATGCCACAGAGGCTCTGGAGACTGGCAAAGGTTAGATCCAGAGATGGGCAGCCACCTATGCAGATCACATTCATCACGGGGAATTTGTATCTGTACATGATATATCTTAGTTCCTTTTTCTTTCCCATTCTCCTCCCCTCTCTCCTTCCTTATTTACAAAGCTTTGTTTCCATTTTATGCTTTTTTTTTTTTAACTTTTCCCTTCCATTCTCCAATCCCACAACTCTTTCCTTATGAACAATTACTTCCTGTTTCACAATAACTATTATATATTCTGGTTCTTATTTATACTTTCAGTTTCTCACACCAAAAATACAATGTGATAAAACATATGTGCCCGATTTATTTCACTTAAGAGTATGGTCTCAAGGTCCATCCATTTAGCTATAAATCTTTCAAGCATAGATTAAAAAAGATGGTGCTAATCCACTAGTATGAAGCCCTAAGAAAGGCCTTATACTGCACTTAGGATATTCCTGGTCCACAGACTTTGAGACAGGATCGACAAATTGACTGAGAGAGGCAGTCACATCTGGGGCAGAGAAATAATTTTCACCCCAGTGGGACACTTAGTCATGTGAGGGTATGCAAACCAAGCAGACAGTGGTAGGATTTGAGCACAGGGAAAAGCCAAGAGCAAGATCAAGGGAATTCCTGAGACAAAGTGAAGGCAAATCTCAGGGCGACAGTAGCATTCCACCTGTGGCAGGGTGGTGGTAGTGATGGTGTTATGGGGGGGGGGACGTGGGGGGATGAATAGAGGAATGAAATGACAGCTGCAGCAACTTGCAGAACTGTATTGGAGTCTTTCCAGATGCGGAAAGACAAACTACAAAGTCAAAACACAAAAACAAAACAGCAAACTACCAAAGCAAATGGAAAAATGGAGGCAACTTTTAAACTCTAAGATAAACAGAAAATTGAAGGACATAAATATAAATATAGTGCATTACTTGCCTAGCAGTGAACAGTGTCAAAGTTATAATATAGCAAACTCAAAACACAGATTTAGCCAAAAATGTACTGGAAAGATGAGGATGTGTGTGTAGTATGTGTTAAGATCTAGGTTCCCTCACTACCACAAGACAAAGCCTAAGCAGTTTTGAGTATAAGCATACATTCAAGAGTATAAGCATATACCCAAAAACTGAAGCAAATTTCAGAAGGAACAGTGAAGAGTTAGGAGCTTCCTTTGGGTGCAGAGGAAGACTGACAAAGGGGCAAATTACAAATAAGCATGTTAGCAATAGTTGATTTTTTAACTGTGGAAATGAGCTTATAACGCTGCCATAAATTTTACCTACTTCCTCTAGTTTAAATATTATTCACTGGGCCAAGGGTAGGGGTGTATGTCTGTCATCCCAACACTTGGGAGGCTGAGATAGGAGGATCACTGTGAGTCCAAGGCCAGCCTGGGCTCCAGAGTGAGTTCAAGCCCAGTCTGAACTGCACAATGAGACTATGACTCAAAA